TTTCCACTTTTCCCATCCCAAACTGTCACCTCATTTCTGTCCTAGAGCCCTGGTGGCCCCAGAGCCTTAGAGCAGGAGCCCCAGTGTCAGTGTGGCAAGGCCCCTCTAGCTAAGTGCTCTCCCTCTAGTACCCTCTTTAATTCCTACCCACCTTGAAGGATCCTTGTAGCAGCTACAAGGTGTGCTGTCTTTCCTTTTGTGTGTGTCCCAGTGTCCAGCACAGCAGGGACAGATGCCTTCAGGCCAGTGCCGTGACTCATCATCACACCGGCACTGATGTGTGGTGGAGACCCGCCTGCCCAGCCAACTGGGCATTGGTGCACAACATCCTATGGATCTTTTTTCTACTCTTGGGGCTGCCAGTGTGTCTCACCCCATACTCTCTTAGTGAAAGCCGTTACTGTTACAGATCCTGCGCGTCTCTCAAGGATCTCATCCTGCGGCTGTGCAGAGGTCACAGGGGCTGTGCCTTCATCAGTAGTAGATCCTCACTCACACAGTTTGTAGGCCACAGCCACGGGGGTGGGTGGGACCCTCAGTTGCTCCAGGCCGCTCATCTCACGGCTCCGCTGCTGCGCCTGCCATTCTTTTCTGTGTCCTGCTGGCTCTGTTTATCCCAGTTGCTTGTAGTCTCTTTGAACACAAGTAGCCTTGGTCTGAGATTCTCCTTTTTCGGTCTGTTTTTAGAGATGCCATTTGCAATATCTTCATTGTAATTTTTGTTCAAGGTTTGAAGTAAGGAACTCAACGGGTAAACTCATGGAGATGGTCCTAAAGGTTACGGGCTTTTAAGACTGGGCCACCCGTAAAGAGTGTATAGCTGCAGGTACAGCTGAGGCTATCGGCTCTCTCCTGACCCCTCAGCTCCTGAGCCAGCCCCATCTATGCCCCTTCCCATCTACCAGTCCCCCCGCAAACCCATGCCTTCCTAGTATCTTCCTCTTGCCCCTTCTCTGGTTTCAAATTGCAAGGAACAGGGAGCCCAGAGCAAGGCACCAGAGCAGGGAACACTGGAAGGGATAGAACCCCGGGGTACAGGCAGAGGAAGGCTCTCAAGCTGAGACAAGAGTCCCACCTAACCACCTGGAGTGCACAGGTCACCCTTGGGGAGGAGAGGTGCCTTGACCTGCCATGAGGACTTGGCAGGCAGGGACAGGGTGGGTGAAGGGGTGCTCAAGTCATGAGAGCAAGCACAAGTCCAGCAAGTTGGGCACGTCTCAGAGCAAGAAGCCCTTCTCCTCAGCTCTCACCTCCTGCCGCAATGGAGCGTGCACGGCACCAGGGGAGTACACGGAGCAGGAGTACCACTATGGAGAGGGACCCCAGGGTATGGCCCAGCACAAGAAGCCGTGCAGACACACAGATCCTGGATGGCAGGGGACTGGCAGAGCAGGCCTGTCCCTCCCCTTGGGGACCCGAGGACACCTGTTTAGAAACTAGGTGCTGTGGTGCCCCCAGTTCCCTCCCAAGGTGGCCTTTGCAAGTATCCTAGACCAGGACACAAACTGGATGCCCTGTGGACTGACTGTTCACAGCCTTTAGGCGAACTGTGGTTCCACATTGTTTAAGGATTATAAAAAGAAAAAGGAGTTATTCCACACAAAGTATATTTACTATCTGTCCCATTACTAAAAAACCATGCGATTTGTGCCTAAGCCATTCATGCCCACATGGACTTGTCTGTTTGCTAGAATGGCTTTGGGACTGGCCACCCAAGCCAGGCCAACAAGGACACGGGCACTGGGGTCCAAGGAATGGAAAGAAAGGTGAAACAAGGGGCTGGGGATTTAGCTCAGCGGCAAAGCGCCTGCCTTGCAAGTGCAAGGTCGTGAGTT